CCCCTCCCCTACTTTGATATTTCTCCTCAAACAGACTCTCACCGTGCAAATGCAAGCGGACAAAAAGCTCCTCGTAGCATTTCTCTGGCATTAAACGGCCCACAAGGAGGTTTTTCAAGGGAGACGTGTCCATCGTCGGCCAGCTGTGGACGGGAATGACCAGCTGGAACAGGGGGAGTGGTCCAACGCTTCCCACATATTTACAGGGGGCGCCACAATTGAGCTGTGACGCTAAGATCAGTAGAAAATGGTCCGTCCGTTTCATTCTCGCTCTTAAGAAAAATTAAAATAAAAAAATACCCTGCGTGTTTTTAATGACAGAATATTTCAAAAACTGCAGGGTTACTTCTGTAACCCTAAGGGGTCATGAGGCAGACGGTGGATAGTTTATAGACATCACTAAAAATAGCCCAATCAATTAATAAGCCGCCATTTGTAATGACGTCATCAGACTTGAATTCTTTCCAAGGGATAAAATATGGTAAACTTGTGGTACTGTTTCATATAAGTGAATTTTGTTACTGACTTCTCTTGACCAAAAAGTTTTACCTTTAACTTATTAATTATCTTTTAACTGCTAATTAATAACCACTTGCTAATTATTCAAGTTTCACACTTTGATCCTTGGTCTCAGAAAGGGAATAAACTTCATATAATGATAAATATCCTAATAACAATTTTAGTCTTTAGTTTTATATTGTTGTTTGATCAGTTTTGGAGTTGCAAGATGTAAATTATTTAGAGCTGCATTGGGGCCAATAGGACGGGTCCACCCACAGTTGGTCCATTATAAAATGTAAATGCTTGTATTCAAACTGGATTATAAATCCTATCTTTGTGTTAATAATTTATGAATGATTAATCTGTAACTAATGTTTATCTACCACACTGATGTGTTTACTCCTTCACCGACAGTCTGTGTGCTCACTCAGTTTGAATCTGGTTTGATCTGGATTAAAATCTAACTTCTAATATAAATGTCAAATTCAGATTGAGGTCAATACAGAGAAGTACAGAAAAACACTGACGTACTTTCCGCTGTCAAATGTCAAAATGAGTTTCGCATGAAACAAAAGAAAATGTACAAATGACAAATGTTACAACAGAAATGTGTGTCAAAAAAGATTTTCCAACAATTTCTGGTTAACACAAATACTGTATGTTGTTATTAAAATTAAGTTCTATTTTATTACAGAGTAGTTATCTTGCACTATGACCAGTTTACTTTTCACAATCAGGCAGCCATATTCCTGAAAAAAAAAATGCTCTTAAAAACAAGCATACTTTAAGATTTTGACTTCATGTCTCGTTTCACTGGTCTTTTATTATTCCAGTTAGTCAGTTTAGTCAGAGTTAACATTTGATAAGATGGAGACACAAGTTAATGCGCTGTGGTTTCCTTTTGGAGAGACTGTATTTCCTATTCAAAATATTATCAGAAGTTGTAGTTGGAGCTATTAGTAATGTCACAGTCATTGCTGCAGACAATAATTGCTCAGTTGCAATTGGACACTGTAGAAAACAATGTAACTGCCATGCTATGTTAAAATTAAATAATTCTTTCTTTGTTTCATTTCTGCCCACATTCTTGCAAAAAAGAATGTGGGCACATTCTTGCAAAAA